TAAGTTTTAACGTTGCTAATTTTTCTGAGGTAACATAACCGAGACTTGACACTCTAAAATGTTGCGATTGCTTTATGGTCGCAACCGATAAAAGGACAATGGAATTCAGAGGATCGTTAGATAAAAGAGAACGTGCTAGATGATCGTTATTTTGAAACAGCAACAATACAAAACAGAGACATAAAATTAAAGAAAAAAAGAGAAGGACGATGAAAATGGATGTGTGTGATGTGTTCAGAATTTCAATATAATTCGTATTCAAAGAGAGTGCTTTTTGATTTAGGTATGAATATCCAAGTACACTTACTCTGGTAAACCTTAAATGATCGAAGGAACTAAGTTTTACTTGATTTGTCAATCAGTGGATAGTATACAATTTCTACGAGATTTATGTGACCTGAAAAGGACTCTTGGCGTATTTTTTCGAACGACAGAATTACGTATAGACTTGATGCCTTCAGTTTGAACTATTGTAGTGCATTTGTCCTATATCTCCTACTGCTGTTGCTGCTTTAGTAGTGTTAAGTAATTCTATCGATGATGTCGTCTCAGTCGCAGTGATATGGGATTGATGGTTATGACATATAGGACGTTGCAGTTGGTTTTAGCAAAGGAGGTCTTATACATTTACCTCGGAGCCTTTATCCCTGCTAACATATCGTGGACCAATTCCATTCATTCCTTCTATTATCTATTGAAAGGGTTTCGCTACTATATCTATTACTTTGTGTTTCCCCCTTCCTTCTGTTTTTGAGCAAAACCTTATTCTTGTTCATTCCGACGTTGCTAAAGACACCAACTATTTCTTAAATCATGAACCAATGCAGGCAATCACTCTGGTGTACGAATGGAAATAAGCGACATTAAAATTGCAAACAAAACATAATAGTGGTCAAAGATGCCTTAGTAGTCGTAATCATATTACTACTCAGCGATACATTGTCTTATGTTATCGGTCATAGGCATATTATTTGACCTGTTTTAAATTGGTAGTCCATAACAACGCTCGCGTCTATATACAACGAAAGCTACATCACACAGCCGCTCTCTTCGATAAGATTTTTTTAACGCGCATTGAGACGGCTTGAATATAAATACGTTTCGATCTAGGTGTAGAATATAAATATATATATATATATATATATATATATATATATATATATATATATATATATATATATATATATATATATATATATATATATATATATATATATATATATATAGGCACGCAAATGTGCTTCAATGCTGTTTAAGAGATTGGACTACCCAAAAGATGAGTCAAAAAGTTAACTATAGTCAATTTCTAACTCATTTCTCGTTTTCCATTCCTAAATAATTAATTAGTAAATGATATTTAAAATAAGAACAAAGGACACAAATCACATCTTTCTGAACATTGATATGGAAGTTCATATTATATATATATATATATATATATATATATATATATATATATATATATATATATATATATATATATATATATATATATAGCAAAGTCTGTAATGATAATGTATTAAATAAGCTTCAGATGATATTAAGATTGGCATGGTTGTATGACATTAGAAATTAGATTCCATCTTTGAGAAATGAAAACATCATCAGTGAAGCCATTCATTTTTAGTGTGCATTCAATTAAATAAAACCCTTCTATAGTATCTGAACCTCCATGTATAAAAGCAGTTTAATGGAAACAGACAATTGTGGAGTTGCCGTTGGAAAAGATGTACAACAGTTTCGATCCGATTACTGGATAAAGCCTCCGTTTTCACAACTGAAAGTGCGAGACTATTTAAATCTTTGAAATATATTGTATAACATCTACTCTGGCGTCACATGGATCAGAGTGGAAACTATACATAATCAAATCAAATGAAACCTTCGCGAATACGCCTCAGAAAGAAAAAGCGAAGAGAAAATGAGGTATTGTCTTATGCCATTCTAATATATACCTCGTTCAGTGTCAGGTTTGTGATCAGAATGAATACCATGCCAGTGCCCTTTAAGAGTGAAGGAAATTCTTTTTCAGCTTGTCGACTTCTAACTATAATTGGAGCATAAAGACGTAACCTTAGAACGTACCTTGGTTTGTTTGTGGAATACATTGTTTACTCAAAACAGTGAACCATAGTTGACGGATTTCACGAGTTTTAACTTTACCGTTTAATAATTTACCTTTTAGAGAATTGAAACAGCTTTGCAACTATCCTTTTAGGAATTGCATTAACACTGGGCTTTTCAGGGCTATTATCAATTTTATTTATATGTGTATTTGTAAAGCACAAAAGTCTCTCTGTGTTGTCAAATGAGGACCGGCATTTAAACCTACCTTTGATTTTGCAATTACTGCTAATGCATCGCTTAATAGCTAGCGTGGAAGATATCAGAAATATTTCGGCGATTGTCTTGTAAAAAACGTTTTCCGCATAATGTTCTCTTTCATTATGTATATGACATGACACATCAGCTCGCAAAATAAAGAAACAGTCATTGAATTTATCGAATAGGAATGGGAAACTGTTAATATAAAGAATTGCCACAACATTCAGCCGTCCTAGAATTGTTTTTGGCTGTTTGACACTAAGAAATATACACAGAAATTAAACGTTTGACTTCAATATTGTATCATCAATGGAAATAAGCAAGGCATGAATAAATTATTGTATCAATCTACATTGTGAGTTCCACATCTAAAAGCTAAGTTTCACTCAGAAGAGAATCAATTTTGAAGACATCAGGAAAATAATGTACTTCTTTCTAATTTGTCAGTGGTGCTTGAGGTTGGTTAAGGTAACTATTCAAAGTGTGAGAAGTGTCGAATTTCTTTACATATATAAATAAGGTGTTCCTCATTTGTTACAAGATATTTTGTTTGAAACTTTTCAAACATTGATATAAACTTTATATATGCAAACTGTTAATTATATATCAAGAGAGACGAAGTGTTTACATTATTTGCAAACTTGTATGACTGTTTAGACCATTTGTACAACAGGTGCCAATTGTTGATATAAAGAATCACTTGCTGTTTAAACTATGCCTACATTTTCTACCTACATTCATTTCCAGGTAAGGTCTAGATATTTCATGGTTTTATTATTTGTTTGTTATCCTGGTTTGCCACACGCAAATGTATGCCAATTGAGACAATACAAATATAACTATAACACAATAGTGGACAACTTTCCGCAAAGAAAGCTGTTATTATATTTGTGGCAATACAATTAATGCAATTGTCATTTTCAGCGAAATACAGTTCATGGGCCATTTGATCACATTAAAGATTTTGCATAAGAAAATCAGTTACACCTATATTAATTATCGTAACTTTACTACACATTTTCTGTAACCGTACAAATATGATTACTGATTCCATTGTACTATGCGTTTATCATGACAGTTTTATACTTTTTATAGTTGCAGAGAATGTTTTATATCAACTATTTTATAGTTTTTATTTAATGTATTTTATATAAATAGGGAACCATTTACAAATTGATATGTGTAGTATTTTGAAAGAATTTACCAGTACATTTGACACGGACGAAACTACTTGATAAGTTGTGTGTGCAGAGCGTTACAGACAATGTGAAATTGTTGGTGCATTTCAATGCATGAAACCGATGTTTCAAGGAAGCCACAAAAAATGATCAGTGTCTCTCAAACACACATTCGGAACATATTTATCAATTTATCAAAGTAAAAATAATCTAAGAACAGCAACTATCTAAACTTAACCAATATTATCAGGACTGTCTGGAAAAGCATTGTATGTGTTAATGTGCATAAATGCCTTGAGCACATAATGCAGATAGTGAACCGAATAAATGCTGCAATCAAGATGATGATGATATTTAAATGATAGTCGAATATTGTAACACAAGTAATGAAGATAAAACCTGCAACTTAAATAATACGAAATGTGGCTTTAGCAATAATATATAGAATCAACCATAAAACGTTGATGCAGATATGAGAAATATCTAGAAGTTGAAGAGCGTATGAAGATGAAGATCCTTGGCACAATTCTAAGAGGTTCACAAAAAGATATTATCGTTTAAACGATGTCATTATCTAAGTGGAGAGATGTATTTATGTTAGTAAATGTAAATATAAAAATGAGCCATATTTGCATTGGTAGAATACGTTGCTATAGGTCCTCAGTATGTCGTAATTTGGACAAAGACTGTATTGAATGAAAGTATATTCTAACAAACTAATACCTGTTTCGGCATTGCTCAGTTGATGGAACTTGATGAGCGAGTTGTTAGACACGTCCTACAGATTTAAATTTCCTATATCAGCTGAAAAGTATTTTACAGTTTGATAGTTAATGGCGACATAGACAAATACTATCTACAGCAAATATTTTAAAAGCCAATGTGTTTATTTCAATGGGAACAGATAGTGATTTATATTACAAAATGCAATTTTATTCTATGAGGCAGACCATGTTATTATGTGCATTTGTTTGTAATATGAGTTGTCTTAAGAATTACATCATGCCTTAAATGCAGCATTGGAGTTAAATAAGACAATCAACCGTTCACGAGTATGATAGAGGGGATCGCCAAAGATTTTCTAAGGCAGGAAATCTAGAAGCTACTGTGATAGAAATACCAGACATTTTTGCAGATGGACACGACGATGTATATGAAACAACAGCCAGGATTGACACGATTGCACTTTTTGATTAAGGTACAGTAAAAGTTATAAAAACAATATTGATGGAATCTGCAGTTGGAAAAAGATGTGACGTGATGTGATTATGATTTTTAACGTAGCTTTAACAATTTGTCAGTCATAAATCTACGATGTCTGCAGTGTGGCACTTTATAGTGATGTCTAGCACTGGGGCATCATGCTGCAGACATGTAGCATGATGTCCCACCCGTTCATATCATCCTGACACCAGGCCGACCAGTCATAACACTAACCTTTTAATGCTCAGCGTTAAGCGTGGTATGTGTTAGTACGATTTATGTAAGTCTTTGGTATGACTCGTGCGGGAATCGAATGCAGGACCTCCCGCATCCGAGGTGGACGCTCTAACCACTAGGCCATCGGAGCGGTTCAGTTCGAGAAATACTTTCTATAAAATAATATAATCCTGCCGCATGAAATTCAACGGAGGCTACAATGGTGAGGGTGAGGAATGAGAAAACTATGTTGCATGCAAACGTTGACGTGCTTGAAAAATTAGGAACTCTAACTTACCAATAGCTATTTGTACAATAACTTCCCCCTAAGCTACTGCAGCCAGTTGTAAATGTAACTTTAACATCACAATAACTGAGACTATTCGTGCGCTAGCATTATTTACAAATGCATAGAAACATAAAAACAAGCTAAAAGACTTAAATTATTAGGGATAATGTAAGAACCGCATCAGATAGTTTCTTGAAAATGAAACATGATAGAATAACCTAATTTCGCCACTATCCCAGCCAACGGAGTTTCCATGCAAGGTAGAAGATGCACAAAACAGGGGACGTGTAACATCTGCTTTTGCCTCCAAAGCTGCTGTGCATGTTCGTAGAAGTGATCGGCGTCATATAACATTTACTCTAATTGTCCAGGCTGCAGAGAATGCTGGTAAAAAAGAAGCCGATTAATGACAATATCCAGCCGTTGCAATAATTGTGTGCGCTCAGTTGTGGCAATGAAATATTGCAGATGTAAGGCATAACAAAACGAATGAAACACTTAACTTGGGTTCACTGTCAGTTCGTTCGCTTTTAACGAAATCTTTTATTCCCTTGCATTTTGACAAACAACATTCGCCTAGTAAACCCTGCCTGGTATTTTATTGCTGCGCAATATGAACGGCTCTGAGTTGCTGACTTCTTACAGATGCATAACACGCGACTAAATGATTACATGTGGAGGTTGCCAACATTGATGCCCCATATAACAGCTGCTAGTTGACCTGATTATTAATGCGGATACATCATGGGAAAACCAGCAGTGTACGATTATGCCATAACATGGTAAAAATCATTCCAAAGTTTTAAGCTACGCAACCAAAAACGAAACAACCGTGCATCAACTATACAGACTTTAGATGTTTAAAGTTCCAGTTGAAAGCACTGTCTTACCAAATAAAGTATCTCAGTTAAATACCGCACAAATATGGAAAATGTTGTTAGATGTGACGGTCACCCGGAACACACAATATGGTACCGCGCCCAACCAACTAGCGCCCACAATACGTTTGTAGTGCTAAAAAATATTCCTGAAAAATTAGCTATAATAATGGATATTTAATATTTAATTGCGAGAGTCCGTCGTACCTGACAGAAATCACATACAACGGAGTAATCAGAGACCCTGGCATGTTTGTTACTTTGATCAAAAACTAAGTCGATACATCTAATGGTGGGATAAAGCAATTAGTGGATGAAACAAATTGCATGTGTTTCCCACCACCACATACAATATATTCAGGGAGCCAAATTCAAGGATCAAAGAAGTTGCAGAAATACGCTGATGCCATCATGTTTACCAAGTGGTTCACTTGTTTTTCCATCATCTTTTAACTTAAAGGTGCTGGAGTCCGGACCATATTTGTTTTTTATATCTGGAGGTAAATGTTCTTGATTGATGTTGATAAAAGTTAAGCGTTATTTTGGCATTAACTTTGTAACAATAATATAATGTATCGAGTAAAAGGACATTGTTGAAGAAAACACATAAACTATATATATATATATATATATATATATATATATATATATATATATATATATATATATATATATATATATATATATATATATATATATATATATATATATATATTCAATAGTCTTCAATGATGAATGCTATTTCGATGGACTCGACATTTATCCGAAAGTGTTCAAAGTGCCTTTGCTGCTTGTGGTTAAGATTATGTTTAAAGTACCTATAAATAATGTATTCTGACCATGGTGATAAAGATGAGAAATTCTTATGGAGTTTTGAACCAAATGATCAATGATGATGGCACTCGGTACTTAATAATATACCTGCATTCATATATATAAATTCGTTTGTGTTGAGCAATTTATGCACTTTAATATAATGCCTTGGTATTATAACCATTGGGATATAATATCTCAAAACTATGAATCTAGTAACTTTAAGCAATCAATTCATTTCTTCTAAGCACACAATTAATTGACATTAAAGAACATATGATGGAAGGGTTCATATTTGTATTAAAATATTATAAAACATTAGAGGAGTAATGAGGACCCATACTCTTTTTTTATACGAAAGTGATGATCATCCGTTCAGCTGGAAACTTGTTGATGCATCTCTCCAACATGCTGTTAGATTTTAAAGAGTATGAAATCAATTAAATCATTTGGTGTGCAGGCAGTGTTATAATGTATGGAAACATTTATTTATCAATAAAAGTAGGTATTTTTCTAACAATGGTCCATTGAGAGCATCAATATCTCTTAGAAATGCATATTTTTGTATTTGTTGTCGGTTTGGTTCTGACTAATGCCTAGATTTTTTTGAGAAGCAATTTGTTTACTTTTGTAGAGTGTTTTCTATTGGATTTTATTTTACAGAAAGAGAATATTTCAAAATATATTACTAGGCCTATATTTATCAATGAAGGATTACATTGTATTACGGATGAAAGTATATGTTCCTTTTGCTGCATTTAAAACTTCGTTCTTTGGTCATTTTTTGCACAACATCCATTACACGAAGAGAATTAACTCTATTTCAACAAGGTTTAATTGACTCAAAAGATGTTGTAACTGACCATCGTCAGATATGATATTTTCGGTTTTTTGGAACCTGGATATAAGGTATACAATTCTTTTCATGATCTGTGATAATAAAAATGATCCATAAATTTCTGAATATACGTTTTATAACACTATTAATTTTAAAAATAATATTTATCCTTTCTTTATTACATTTTCATATGAAAGCTGTACACGTGTACTGGATGCAGTAAATTTAATTGTCCGAAGAAGAAAATTCTTTAAATGATTCCAGATCATGAAGATGTTCATTCGCAGCCAAACAGTTGGAATAAAATTCTCGTTTTCAAGAAAGCTTTTATGAATGAACCCAATAAAAGTAAAGCTTTTTCATGAATCATATGACTACTCCATGCCGTATATATCATCTGTAGGTACTGTTGAACTATTCAAATGAAAATTATTATTGTACAAGATAAATTGTATTATATTATAAATATCATCACTCGATAGTTTGCTAATATCAATATCATCACGTCAAGACCATCTGTATGTGGTATGTTCGTACATGGTAATATTACATATACAGATACAAGGATTGAATTAACAGATAATTGTGGAATAGACTTCAAATTGTATAAATCAGTAATAACTTTAGTTTATGAAGGAAGAGATTCCAGTAAATGTTACAAAACATCAATAACTTTGAATAGGTGTTTCGTATAGGAATTACTACGTGGATAATTTAAAAAGTAACATATAGGCAAGATGTTTGAGTTTTGGCAATTTGTTTGACTGAGGTTACGTATTTTGAGAGTGAGATAATCAAGTTCCTTTTATAACGAAATACTTCTTTTTAGTGATTTCATCAGTAGATGTGGTAATTGATGATATAAATTATAATTATTGATGCTGATTAATTTCTTGTTTTTTCATAATTGGTTTACTTTTCACAACTTTTCCATGAAACTTAGAAACTTAGAAACTTGTCACACATAGTAATTATATGGGTGATTTGGCTTTCAGCATGTATATAAATGATCGGACTGTACAGTGTTCTTATTATTATTTCTTCTGATCCTGCTGTAACATCGAGTTTGCAGACGTGTTTATGTCGTAATTCGATATTATTTCAGGGACAAAGACATTTGCAAGTATCATTCAGTGGAAACAAAACGTGTTTATTGAATAAAATATTGTCCTGCAACAAAGTGGTTTTGGGAAACGCCATTTTCATACGCTTGTGATTTTTGGCAGGCTCGTTTATTTCCAATTCTTAAAGTACATTTGCTTCAATAGAACCTTTTCAGGATTAATTTTGTCTTCACGTAATAATAAGTTCCTTTTAAGATTGCATGTATAACTTTGGCAATTACATTACTTGTCAGGTTTTACAAATCGTGTTGGTTTAATTTCCTGCTATATGTGTATGATATTATAATCGTCACAATAGCTCACTTACACGATGGCAAGTGAACTCGTCTTGGAAGAAAATTTTAGCTTAGCATGTCAATTCAAATAATGTTTCGGATCAATTTTTAAAGATACCTAGATTATTAGAGCGGTTATTATTTTTTGTAATTATTGCTAGGGAAATTAATGTTTTGCTACGGACATCAGCCACCAATTGTATGAATAATATGTCTTTGTTGCTTCCTGGTTGCACTGAACATTTGTCTACAAAATGTCAACAAATATTGTCACTACAATGAAAGAAAGCTTTTAAAGTGAATTTATTGATAAAATGTGTTTCATAAAATAGATATAAAATCAAATTTATTTCAGTTTGAGGTCTTACAAAAATCTTAGATGAGACAGTATAGGTGTTTGTTATACGTGTTTATTTTTCTGAAGAGATCCAACAACACAATTCAACTAAATTGGCTGTGTCTATTGTAAGACAGGGAATGTACTTAACGTCAAATCTATCTAGCGTTAAGATCAGTTAACTTAGTATTTATCACCTAAGCAGTATAATGGCAGTCAACAGCAATGAAATTACTGGACAATGACTAGCATCAAGAGAGCAAATATTCACAATTAACTAAACATTTGTTTAATGTTGATCATAATTCGTTCTCGTGGTTGGCAAATAATACATAACAGCGAAATAATTATCGGAAATATAATTTCATTGTCAATACTTTTGGGAAATATTAGTCATCATGAATATCTTTCTTTAAAATAACGTTAATGCAAGTTATCTGAAGAATTTATGATTAGTAAGTTGTGATACATGGACACAGTTAACGAAATTCAACTTTGTAATTTGGAGGTATGTTTCTTATCTAATGTGAATGTTATGTTCATGTTCCATTTTTCCTTGTAGAGAGAAAACTTTTGTTATAATAGTTCTCAAACAAT